ATATGTATTTATTTTAAAATAATAAATTAAAAGCATTTTAATAAATTAATGAAGGTTTAAATATATATATGAATAAAGAGTCAGGATTTAAACTAGGAATGTTAAAAAAAAAAAAAAACCTGGGATACTGGTCACTATGGTGAGTAATTGTGTGATCTCCTATCTAAGATGGCTAATTCATTAAGTGACCGAGAATATAGAATACAAAATCCTTTGTATTCCCCACCTTAAATAGTAGCCATCTTTCTCAGGATTGTTTAATAATATTTATTAAATAACCTTAAAAGACTGAATAGGTGTAAAATGAAGCCCCAGTGACAGCAATGAAAGTCATTTTTTTGGCCTAATGAAAGTTAATCAGAGATGGTAATGAGGGTGGTTTAGTTTGGTCCTCAGTCTCAAAGGAGATGTTATATTTGGCCATGTGTTGATTTTTTGGCATGTAAATACTTAGCATACTTACATTGGACCATGGCATTGCATGAAAAAGGAGACTTGTTTTCTTTTCCTTCATTCAGACTTACTGCTCTGCACAAGAAAAGGCTACATCAGTACTGACTTGGATGTCCTATTGTTTGCATTTCTTATTGTTTGGGGCTAACTGCTGTGGCCTCAAAATGTAAAAGTGCTTGGATCTGGCTTGGATCTCTGCTTGGATCTGGCTTTTGTACTAAGCTTTCATAAAAAGAAGATATTCCAAATCACCTTGATAAGACACCTTGAAAGTTTACTTCTGTATAAAATGTGTTAAAACAATGTTATTAATAAGCCTGAATATATCTTCACTGCATTTAAAGTAGGAAAGCAAAAGAAATCATACTAATATTTATTGAAGTTGTGCTATGTGTGAAGCATGATGTTGGTGTAATTATTAGCCCCATGTTAATGATGAGGAGACCAAGGAAAAGACGTTAGATGACCTGAATAGTCTCGCAGCTGGTAAAATGTAGGAATTTAAACCTATGGCACTAACTGTATTTGAGAAAACTAATGTAACAGAAGTAAAGAATAAATTTGATAACCAGTTTTTCAGAAAAAGAAAAAAAGGACTACCCCAAAAATTCTGCATTAATGGAAGTAATTAATGGATAAAAATATTCCAGTTTTCAGATTCATTTAAATCCAAAAGCAATTAGCCAAATAATAAAGTATAGATCAGATAAATGAATAGGAGAAAACAAGAAATAAAGCTTCCTAAATAAGCATTACTTGGAGAAAAAGACTGTCTTATGTATACAAAAATATACACATAGTTTATCTCTGTACAGTGGAGATGATGGACCAAATCAAGAAAATAACAAGATTGAGGTGTGTAGACAGATAATATAAGCACAAACAGATGGTACAAAGTCCATGTAAACTATAATAGAAAAAATGAGCAACGGTTTTTACAACACTAATCTAAATACAACTCTATGAACCAAAGAACATTTTTTCTAAAATGTTATGTAATCTTAGCAATTTTTTACATAACTTAAAAATTTTTTTTGTCACATAGTTACATTCTTTTTAAAAGAGAATTTGGGAGGAAAAACAAACAAAAGCAAAATATTTTAACCTATGGTAGAGTTAAGATATGAAATTATAAAATATCCTGATGAAACTATAAGATACTTTAATGAAGTTAATTTTTCAGGTGCATGATTTGCTGAAGAGAATAGATACATGGTGATGTTAAATATTTTGATCTCAAAAGTAAAGATTAACTAAAATATATTTAAACAATAGCTCTCAATTCACAACCAAGATAATTCTAGATATTCATAATTTTCTACATTGCATTTTAATTTAATTACTTAAAACAAAATATTTTAATTTTTGTTCATTGTTATTTTAAGAATTTTTCTGAAATCTGAGAATCTCTTTTATGAATAACCCCTATTTTTACCTATTAATGCTAAATTCATTTAAATTTAATTGATTATAAATTGGAGATTTTATTTTAAAATAATAAAAGCATTTTAATAAATTAATGAAGGTTTAAATATATAAATTATTTCATTACCTAACAATGCATTAAAGCATTACTCAGTAAAAACTGCACTTACTAAACATGTTCATATCATTTTCAACACTCATTTTTTCTCTTTTTTATGAATATTGAGAACAGAATAAAATCCTCTATTGTCCATAAGTATTAATAGTTTTGTAGCAAAGAACAAAGAACTAGGTATTCAAATCAATTACAATGAGCCAAAAATCCTGAGATTTTCATTGTTGGTAGCAGTTGGTTTATTTTCTAATCATTCCTGTGTCAGTGTGCTAGGATTGCCGACTTTGCAGCATAGGATGAGGCCAGAGCTGCTGGAATTGATGAACCAAATTGACCTGCCAGGAAGTTCTTTGGTTGTTATTTTCCTCCAGTGTCTTAGACAACTGGAAACATATGAAGATGTGGA